TATGTACAAATTTATAAGTGTGCGATATACCCACATATATATATACATGTGTATCTCATTTTTCAGCGCCAGAGTACCTTATGATTTCTATTCTTCGCAAACGCAAACACATCACTTATTTACTAATTCTATTAATTGTCGTATACATCAGCAGCGATTTAAGTGTTTATTTTTACAGCTAGGAGGAGGTGCTTTACATTATGCGATCGCATGTGAATTTTTGATATTTATTGGCGCATTACTCGCATATATATATATATATATATTTACATATAACATGTATATTTATACAGACAGTCGTTATATAGACACGTATACAAATACCCAAATACGTTTTAAACGACATGCAACCAACACACATCGAGACACAGTACAGTTATTCACGACTTTAAGTTCCCTTTCTTTGATTTTTTTTTTTTTTTATTTTCTGCAACTGCTGTAGTGTTACGCGCGTGTCCGCTTGTGCAATATAGTACGTTTCTTTTCACGTCTTTTATAGTCGATAACAAAGCAATATTTTATATCGAATTTCTCTCGCAAGAATGCGATGCACGCGATGCTACTCATTCTGTTAATACTGCTTTTCACACTGCTTTTCTCACGCGTTTTAGAAAAATTTCTGATAGAACATTTTCAGTAAAATATACGGATTTATGAGTAAAAGTGGGATATACGCGAATCGTGGATAACGTAAAATACGTAGTAACTGACGCATTCCAATTATGCATATCCCCGTTAAAGTCTTGTTGACGCATACGTGTACATACATACGAAGAACGTGATTTCTCCAATTATGAATTTGATCGTTTGTGTGCGATGGTTCATTTGAAGGTAATTAATAATGATCGATCAATCGGTTGGAAATTGGTTACAGGAATTATATTAATAAGAAAGGTATAATAGTACAACGTATACAGTAACAAGTTAAAAAGTTTGTTCTACAGCAATTTACAGAACGGTAATGCAAGCAAGCGGAAGAAATTTTCTTCTAACTACTTTTCTATACATATATAACATATTAAATGATGGAGTAATTAATTAAATCCTCAAGTATTTCATTATTACGTAAATTGCATCGTATGTAATAAAATACGATGTCATTTTATGACAGAATGTAAATTAAACAATAATCATTTTTTGCCCAACTCCAAGATTTCACTTGCATTTCAAACGTCGCTCACATACGAACTAGGGCATATCGTGTTTATCGTGAAATTTTCCTCGGGCGAAAATTCACGAGTGTTACTTGAAATTGACTCTCTCTCGCGCGCGCGGGTATGTGCCACTTGCCGACCGTGCGTTGTTAATTAGGAACTCAAAAGGACCATTCGTCGCACCTGTCTCTCACTTTAGTCGCGGTGTCAACTATACTATCTGTCTCGCAACAATTCGCGATACCGGTACACACATACACCCGCACACACATACGCGCATTTACATTCTCTATCTCTGTAGTTGTTTACACAAGCCACTGTGTATCTTATATCTCTGCACGCAGCTCATGTATTGTCTGGATATGTATGTGCAGAGCGTATGTATGTGTGTGTATGTGTGTATGTGTCTCTCTTTCTCTCTCGTTAACCGTTTACTGTCTGTATACGTGTGCGTTTCCTAACGAGCTTTCCAGCTTGCCAAAAGCGCGCACTTTAACCCGCGGTTCACACTCGAGCGCCCGAATGCGTGCACTCAAATTAACACGCTCGAACAAGGCAGGCGCGAAAGTAAAGCAAACATAGCGAGCGACACTTCGCACGCGGAAGTGACGCTCGTAATGTACTATTACACTTATTATCTCGCTGGCGCTGCCATTGAGCGCAAAATGTCCCATGTACGAGCGCGATGCCTGCACATGGAAGTAGATTTATCCGGTGTATATAAAGAAACAATTCGATCAGGAAATAACCAATGGATAATGCTCTATATATTTAACAACGAAGCTTTACGTAGATTTCAAAATTATAATGTGCATGGTACTCTAGAATGCTCTGAGTCTCACACTTTGAGAGAAGTAGATTTTCATCCCCTCTGATGCTGCAATGATATCTACATTGAGAGAAAAATGTTTGATACTTGTAACTATAATTACATATTACTATAATTATGATTATGACTATTATGATATTAGTAATGATAACTGTATGTATAGTTCTGTTAATCAATATATATTTACATATATTGATTGGCAACCAAAAATGGTTATATTTATAGTTATAATTATAAAAATGGTTGAAATTACCATAAAAAAATAATTCAATAACTATAATTATATAGCCATTTTTTGAGGAGAACTATATTAATGTAGTTATTCCAAAATATTGTTATCGTTACTAATATAAGTAACTTTAGTTAGTTACTAATATAACTAATATAAGAGAGTAATATAATAAAATTATATTTATAGTTATGTTCCTAATTATAATAATATGTAATTATAGTTACAAATACGAAAAAGTTTTATCTGTGTAGAAATATGATTAGTTGACTGTATTAACGAATTTTTTTAAATTTTATTTTACGGCAAAATATTTTTTGGATTGATATTTTTTCCCTAATAATTTTCGCAATTACCAAATTTTAAGAAGAATCTGCCAAGTACCGTTCGAGGTCTTATTCAACTTCCTACTTCTCTCGACGGGAGGTTCGACGAAAATGCACAGGGAATGGTACGTGATGCATGTGCAGTTTCCTTTAACACATGCGTATATTAATCCGATTGATAATACACCGGAGGATGCTCGTGGAGGCATTTATTATTACCCCTTGTCCTCCCCGATCGCCATCCAAACCCCCGTGTCCTTCGACCTTATTGGGCGGGGCGAGGGTGCACCGAGTAACGGCGTGCTACGCCTCTTTGACAGATTTGAACACGGTATTTTAGCTCCATTAGTAGAGAGTAGAGTGATCTAATTTCTCCCTTTTCTGGGCGTTGGTAAGCACCGGTCTCTCGAAATTAGCTCGGTAATACGAGTCGGCTGGCCGTCTCGCGGACCCTCCGTCCACTCTTGGCAAAAAGTACTCCCGTTTTCATAGTGGCTCTTATGAGCGTTACGTCGGATATATATATCCGTGTGGAAACAGTTTTATACTTGTATCGTAAACCGTTTTTCGTTGATAGTATCCTGTCCATTAAAATAAAAGGCACATAAAAATCCTATAGAGACGCGATAAAGAACCGAATATGAAACCTCGAAGCTAATTGAAAAGTGTCGAAAAGCATCTGGGATAACGTACCAACGGCCAGAAGAAAGAAAAAAAATAGGAACGAATGTCAGGTTGGCTCTTTTTAACGCCTCCCCCGAAACAGACCCGAAGTCCACAAACGGAACGCTCTCTCGCATTACTCGATCCAATTGCTAGCTACACGTATTCTACTCTCTCTCTCACTCTCATTTCTCTCAATACTCTCTCTCTCTCTCTCTCTATGTTTCATTCTTTATCCATCCTACCTTTTCTTCAGTTTCTCTCTTCTTTATGCATATTTTATTGCCTCATTGTATACATTCATCTTGTGTAAAAAGAACGACGTAGTCCCGCCTGTACATTTCGCCAGGTTCGGCACGAGCTCTGTGGCTGCCAAACACACTAAAAGCCTAGCCAGTAGTCTTTATGCGGCCAGGTGTCAACTGTGGATACACGTTATTAAGATTCTACCTTGTATACGTTAATTTTAATAAGTTTCGCGGAAATTAAATTTATAATAGACCATAAATCATTTTGACATTTCGTGAAAACTATATGTATTTTATGGCGTAAATCGATTTTTAGAATTTATTTAATGTAAACTGCAACCACGTGTAATTTATCCATCTTAGCATAACATTTCAGAATTTTATTTAAATTGCTTTTAAAATAAACTGTTGAACTAATTTATATACAAGCTCACGCGATGAATAAGAATGCGCGACGATGTAAAGGATCTTGTTTGCTTAATAAATTAACGCTCTGTGCCAGTAAAGTTAATCCGCGACAAGAGGATTTTTTTTTTATGTAGTGACCGCAGCTTTTAAGAGCGCCGTAAAATTACGATGCAGTGACGCTTTGAAGTTGTTTACTTTACCAGCCAGTGATTAATTGACTTTTTGCGTGTTCGCATGTTTCGCAACGTGTATCCACGGCCAATGCTCGTCCTCGCCAAAGTAGAAAAATCCCGCTCCGTAACGCGCCAATGTTCCTCAATGTATCTGTTGTTCACAAAAATCTCAACTTCCTGTTCAATATCGGCTATTGTCCTATTTGAGTCGGTCCGAAATTCCTTTCATACGACTCTGCAAAGTTTTTTCGTCAAGTGCATCGTACTCCATATTGATAAGAGAACTCACGTCGATCGCAACATTGGCGATAGCTCTACAATGTATAGGTATTTTATTGCTTTCGCGAATTATTATAATTTGATGCACTTATTTTTTAACATGACTTAACAAATTATTATTATATACATTCGTTTATATTTCGAGAAACTATTTAAACGAAAATTTATATTTTTTTACTATCAAACACGTGCAGTGTAAAAAGAAAATGTAGAAAAATTAAAATTTTGTTATCAATACAAAAACCCTTCATAGAGAACGTAAGGTTCTTTCAATGCAAATCAATGAGATATTCACATTTATAATGTCACGATGTCACGATACTATATCATCGTTCTTTCATCACTAAGAAATAACCAAGAGATCATCCGTTTCATTTTTTCTTTTTCCCTTTATGTATATATCCATCTGTCTTATCCATCTAGCTCCAAGCAACCATCGAACAGTGTGACATACGATCGTAATCGGAGGAGAACCAGCGACCGTTTGAACAATCGCCTCACCTATTATCCTGAGCTGCCCTCTCCCTTGTGACTGTACGACCCTCTCTGTCTCTCTCTATCTCTTTCTCTTTCTCTGACTTTTGTGCCCCCAGCCCTGCCAAGCCAGCCAGCCCCTATAGCCTATAGCCCCCAAACCCCTTTTGCCCACATAGATAGAGTGCCATGCCATGCGTGTTCGCTCTTGCTGTAGGTATGTCGCGAGTTTCAACGCGGGGCGTGCAAACGCGGCGAGACGGAGTGCCGGTTTGCGCACCCCCTCGAGACGGTGCAGGCGAACGAGGACGGCTCTGTGACGGTCTGCATGGACGCTGTCAAGGGCCGATGCAATCGGGACCCCTGCCGCTATTTCCACCCCCCTCTGCACCTTCAAGCCCACATTAAGGCCGCACAATCTCGGGCTAGCATTGCGGTAATGCATTCTCTCTCTCTCTCTCTCTCTCTCTCTCTCTCTCTCTCTCTCTCTCTC